TTTCGGCGATGTTGTTTTAAGGGAACATAATAACATACCCATACAACGTAATTGCAACGTTAATGAGAAGTTGTTGAGGGAAATCAAAACCTCGCGAAACATCTATTTGTTACTTACGTATTTAACCTGCCTGTTATGATAACACAACGTAATTAAGTAACTTGCTAAAAAAGTTTCCACGAGAAGTACTATGGACTTTCGAACGTAGCCATTCGTTTGTCATAACCAACAAAACATAAAAAAATGTCACTTGTCACTTTTTCTTGTACGTATTTCAGATTTTAAAGAAATTGGAAACTATACGTTTGAATAATTTTGGTAAGTTGTTTTCTTCTTTTCAATAAATTTTCTAATTTTCTAATTTATTGTTTGTTGTTTTAGATGGCAAAATTTCAATTTCCAAATACAATCAAAAATAAATCATTGTAAACAAGTAGATACAATTAAATGATGAAATATTTATTTTACACGATAATAGGGATCTTATTGATGCCTTAATACTATAGAAGTAACGATATTAAACAATGAAAGTATCGATATTTAGGCACTGAATTACTGAATTACCAATACTATCGCCATAGTGATACTTAGAAGCAAGTATTGTATCCCTATGTGTGTGGTCAGAGATTATAAGGTTTGTTCAAATATTTGTACTGAAATATTTTAGTTTTTGCATGTGGTGAAACTTGGTAATATGATTAAGCGTTACCACTGTTTTTTTGTTATTTAATTATAAGGTAAATTGCCAGTTATTGACACTATAACTTGTACCAGGTAGAGTACCAGTAGAGAAAGAAAAGGTGTCGACTACAGAATATACTTTACTGATGCACTCTTGTTATTAGTTAAGTTCCCTACTCCGTCCTGTTGAATGGGGGTTTCCAGCCGTTTAACAAAAATCTTTTACTTTTTCGATACTTTGTTACTCGAGACTTATAAATATCAATATCTTTAACATAATATCGAACAGTATCGATGCCTCTACCACAAAGTATCTCACATGATACCGATATTGATACCTTTGACCGATACTCAACCCTACTCCCAATTATAAAAATACAAAAACAGAGAAGTCATATACTGCCATCCTAACAAGAGAAGTCCTATCTGAAAATTTATATTTATTATCTTTTAAACCTTTTTTTGTGTAACTTTTTAACATTTTAGTACCTTTGTTACAAATAAGACATTCCTTTTCAGTATCGAGAAAGATAAAATGTAGACAAATGCACATAAAAAAAACTGCTAATTTTGCAGATAAAACCTTTCTTGCTAGAACCGCAGTATAGAAGTGCTCATGTAGTTCACTAAAGATAAATAACATTTAAATTTGTTACGTTTCAGTAAATTAAGTATTACCATTGCTGGACAGTAGTGACGTTTTGGTGGATAAATACAGCATTTCACTGGATATATATACCTATGCCATTTTGCTGTACGTTTGCTGCACAATACCAATTGCTGGACAAACTTTAAAAATGCTTTACAATACAGAAAAATTGCTGTAAGTATGGTCGCCCTAGTGTAATAATATTTTAATCACTAAAAATAAATTTTAAAAATATTGTGTTTTAGGTTTCCTTTGGGCTGGATTATAATTCTAGTAAAAATCTCAGGAATTTTAGAAGCTAAAGTTAATACAGAATTGGTTGAAGAAGAATATATAACATCTGAGATTATTTCTTTTTCTTTCATAGCAGAATATCATGCTAAAAAACATTGTTCTGTATAAGTTGAACATCCATTATTAAGTATAAAATTTGTAAAAATCAAAATAAATGTTATTATTTATTTAAAAAAACAAAGTAAGTAAAAATCAACTAAAAATAGGTGCAACGATTTAAACGAGCATATTTTTTATTTTCTTTATGTATATATATATATATATATATTATTTTCTTAATAATAATTAAACAAGTAAGTTTATTATCTACAAAGTTATTTTTACGGAAGAAACTATGTAATTAAGTTCACATATTTATTTGTTTACAGTACGCTACTGATATATAAAGTTCTAAATGGTTAAAATATCAAAATAAAATAAAAAAGAAATTAATAAAATTGTCACAGTATAAAAATGAAAATAGTGTAATAAAAGTTGACACTTTAAAAATAAACCTTTTAAAATGTCATAATTTGAAAAATACTTATTGTAATTGGACATCAGTTGGTCTACAAATAAATTCTGTCCATAGTTAGTTCTATGAGCATTTACATAAAATAGTTTCATATGCCTAGTAAGTCTGGCAGGAACAAGGAATCTAATAAAGTGTACCAGGCTGTCACTATCAATCAAACCGTTCAATAATTTATACAGGAAAACAAATGATGCTTCTCGACATCTGCATTCCAAACTCTTATAGGTCCCTCTCAAAAATAACATCAAGATCATTTATAGTTTGCTCAAAACTTAGTTCAGAACCTGCAATGACAATCATGCATAATGATATTAGCTGTTTTATTAAACCTTATGACTTTACATTTATCAATATTCAGTTTATATCATATTAAAACTATGATTAGTACCTAGTTGTAGGCAAATATCTTTTTTTAGCATCCTACAACTGCCATCTTAATAAAAATCTAGTGACCTTTGAAATATACCTTATATAAATACACTTTTTACTACTTTTGTACAATCGTGCACCATTTTAGCTACCAGTGAACCTTTGCAATATAGGTACCTTATTATACTCTTTCGTGCAAGCGTTCAGTGTTTTCGATTCTAGTGAACCTTTGAGATATTCCTTATATACCCTTTATACCTACTTTTGTCCAATTTGTCAGTGTTTTTTTTTACCTATATTATTAATACCTACCTCTACTTGTATGATATTGGTTCTTGATTTCAAAAGCTTTTTAGTAATAAATTTATACAATTTTTTATTTTGTTTTCTTCAGATTTTACTATATCCTCAATATATATACTATTTTGAATACAGTGTATCCAAGGATGGACATAACTATACTTGTAAAGATATTTATTTTAAATTTTTCAAGAGGTCTTTTTCATAATTTCTCAACGTTAATCGTATTTATTTAACAAGCAAAAGAAATTATGAAGAAGTTCTTTTAAATTTAAAATAAATATTTTTACAAGTATTGTTAAGTCCATCCGTGGACACACTGTATAATGCTGTAGAATGAATTCACATTATAACATCTATAGAAAGTTTCAGAGCAACTTTCAGGGTAAGTACCGTAAAAGTGCTAGTGTGATGTTTTCCGAACTTTAATTTTGTAACCTCTGTGAGATGTGCTATAAAAGTCTTGCCGTTGCGGACATTCGGTGGTTGCAGGGATGATAGGGTTACATTAACAGTACATTGCATGCGAGCTTAAAGAGCCTAAAATTGCAGCTTATTAACGTAGATGGGATGTTTTTGTGCTAGCTGGGATATATGTACTATTAACCCTGTCAATGTCAACAGGTCCACAAGGGTTGCCATATCTAAACTGTCCGTTCCACTCATTGATCTGGCAACCTAGGGATACGACATGCGTAAGCGAAAAGTGGGACCGGTCCGCCATTACTGTGAGTGCAAATTGTCAATTTTATAGGTTATAGTTTTACTGTCATTTGTGTAATTAAATTTGAATTTAATTTGTGTTTGAGCAAATTTTGAGTGTTACAAACTTATAAAGTATATAATGCCTTGCTGTGTTATACGTTCCTGCTCTAGCGATAGACGTTTTTGTCAAAAATCGACTGGAATAACGTTTCATAGGTTAGTATCAAAATTATAAATATTATACAGGACAGTAATATGACACGTTTGTATAAAATGTGTAAAAGTATGCTTTTAAAAATGCAAAAAAAATCATCTATCAACTTTTGGGCCTACCCATATTGGAATAATACTTTTTCATGCGAAATAATATAATGGTTATGTTGCAGTTGAAGGGTCAGGAATGGGCCAGTGCGCACCATTCCTGTTCCGGCGAGTTCTGCTAGTCGGAATCGTTACGGAGTTGCCAGGTTATATTAAATTATTTGGAACCAGGGAATAAGCAGATTGAAATAACTATTTTACTTTTAATCATCTATTTACCAATTTTTACATCGATTAAAAAACCCATAAAAATAAAAAAATGTTCTGAAGATTTTC